ATCCTCCAAAGTTTGGTCTCAGGTATTTTGGGCTTGATGTTCCTGAAAGCAGGACATGGCCTTATACTGAGACACGATCCCACACTGATGAGAGCCTAAAATTGACTCCCTGAAGTCGATACTGTAAACGAGGCCGTGTTTTAAAACCCTTCACTAAGCAACTTCTTGTCCCACCAATACTTTCCTGCTAGCAGCGTCAATGTATATATCGGAACACCACGAAGAACCCGGCCTCTGGTGCCCAATTCAAGGGGATTTATTTTTTAGGTATAGAGAAAAAGGTGCCTGGCTTTTTTATATATAGGCTATAATATATAGGACTAAATTCAGAATATGAGCTAATCAAACTTTGGCATATCTCTCTTCTGGACAGACTGTTTCGTACCATAAGGCACTCATCTGCCGATGAGTGAATTTATTACATGATTATAGCTCTACAGAGATGTATCGAGCACTGTGAATTGTGATAGAAGACGATTTCATTGGCTATAAAAAATATAGGATGTATATAGGCTATATAGGTTTTCCCGGCTATTTTAAAATGTTTGTCATTCGCATTCACCGTTTATAATACTCAAATTCGTCCATCACCATCCATTTAGTGCACTTCCAATGTTTAATATCGTCTTTTGTCAGACAATTTGAAATTCAGTTCAAGCAGTATTTGATTTCGTCTCGTACGCCAAACAATGTCATTCAAAAATCAAATTCGTCTGATTGATTTTATATAAGACGAATTCGATCTCTGAATGCTGCCATTCGGCAACAACTTGGACGAATTTGATCTGTAATAACGAATATTCTCGACCCGGTGACTAAAGCGGGTGACCAAACTTTAAAATTGAATGGTAAATGACCAAATTGTTTTTGTAAAAAGCGTGTGAATTTTTTCGTGGATTAAATTGGCATGTAGAGTTGGTGAATTTGAATGACAAATGTTTTAAAATAGCCGGGAAAACCTGTAATAACAGCCCCGATAATATCGTGTAGTCTATCTGTACTTTAGCGAACCAGGATGTAGGCCTAATAATATCTAGGTTCGATTTCGTGCCACAAAACGACCGATAAAGAAAAATTGAGTTTTAGAATGGATGACTCGAGGGTTTGAAGTGCAAAGTGCGCTTCAAAGTGCATTTGTTTGCACCAAAGGAGACAAACACCAAAAAGCAACCCCAACAGAAGCTAATCTCACTTTTCAATTCAGTCGCATTCTATTTTTCTCTCTAAATTTCCCCTCAAGCCTCCCAGTCCACTCATATATTACCACGCCGCTTTTCACAAATCGGCACAAGCTGACAGTTAGTGATTTCGGGGGCAGTTTTTGCACCGTCGGGGGGCTGTACCCTACCGGCAGGGGGCGTGTCTGTTTTGTTTAAGAAAAAAAGAGAAAAACTCACATGCCTAGAAATCATAAAAAATTAACGCGTGGCGGTGAGGTCAAGGATGTTGATTTGGGAATTCGGTGGTTGGTTGCGAGCCGACGAGATCAGGCAATTCTGTTCGGTTGTGTAGCGAGTTTTCTTTCAAGAAAATTGGGAGATATATCAAAAAAGCCGCTGCCGCGGTGCCGGGCCACAATAAACAAACCCCTCGCCCCTCGCTTCCTGGCAAACACCTGTTCCGCGAATAAATAAAAATTCCTTGAGGTAATGCTTAGACAATTTTGGAAACTATATTTAGTTCGGGATCAAGGAAACATCCACTTTATTTGTTCGTCTTTTTTGCTGTCTGGTCGTTTTGTTATCAGGGTGCATATTTTCCAGATAAACAATAAATTTTGACTGAAAACTTTATTTCACTCAGTTGTTATACATTTTTCTTTGTCATTTTACTGTAACAAAAAGTTGGTTACCACACTGTTGGGCAACTATGTCACGAAGCTAACTCCTCAATTGGTAACTTTTTTCGCAACAGCTCTCATTGGTTTTGTACACGTTTTCCAACCGAGGAGTCCTCGATTCGGTTTCTGTCCTCGATTCATCGATGATGTTGCACGTGTGTGTCCTCGATTTACACCATAAACACGCACGCACACACGTTTGTTTTGCATACGCTATGTGGATATTCCTTTGTTTTCGTGTAGTTGAGAAAACTCGGTACAAAAAATAACTTTACTTAAAGGGAATATACAACATTTGCAAACATTGAAAAATAAAACTACCAAGTTTTTGCGAAATACCTTAATAGGATGTTGGTAAATGACAGTCTAAGCATCCTGTAAAATCATGGCACCTGGTATACTGTCATTTTCAAGAAAAGTGGTATTTTTGTATCAATTTCCAACGCTGATCGGCCGATCAGCGTTGGAAACAAGTGGCTTTTTTTCAAATACTGGCCCCAATTGACCATTGCACTTGTTTGCAATCGATTACAAACCTATGAACGGGTACGAGCCAGCTAGACTGGTTCCCTGACCTTATAATTCCCCATTGTATGTAAACTGCTCTGTTTCTTCTTATATGGAGTCAGGGAACCAGACTACAGGAAAATGATCGTTTTTCTTGGTTTTTATAGCATTTTCGAACCCAAAACCTCCAAAAAGTCAATGTAACTATATTTGCTTTATATTTCCTACCCCCCAATTCCATCCATTTCTGAAAATTACAGCAAAAGCAAATGATGTATATTCCCTTTAAACTGTAAAAACTCTTTGAACCCAAATTTTTTTGGATTTCCTTGAATGTTTCTCTTCATTCTGCGACAGATAACCCTAACCCGAAAATGCCTCTAAACCTGTTTTCCAGAGAGTACGAAACGTTATGTGGACACGGCTTAGTCCATAACGTCAACACAACCTGCATTATGTGGACATCTTTTGTTCACACGTCCACATAGTGACTATAAGACAAACTCACACGTTTGTTTATGGTGTAAATCGAGGATTTTCTTTTGTTCCTCTTCCCTTTTCCTTTGTTTGTACTTTTTCGCAACAGCTCTCATTGGTTTTGTACACGTGTTCCAACCGAGGAGTCCTCGATTCGGTTTCTGTCCTCGATTCATCGATGGTGTTGCACGGGTGTGTCCTCGATTTACACCATATCGAAATTTCTCACTTCTTCACGATGTATAATAAGGGGCTGTATGCAGCTCTGTTTCCATAAATTCACGCTGTGAGAAACGAGGTTTAACAGACGTGTTGAAAGGGAAACCGAAATGATGGCTTAGCGCCGTCGCTTTGTGTCGCCCGGCTGAAAATTGATGAGAGCCAGTGCCTCGATGCCGATGAATGTGCATGACAGAATGTGTACCTAGCTATCAACTTGTGAAGCTCGTTTCTCCTTCCCCTGTTTCTCCTTGGAGTTTTTTAGGTCAGCGGGGTCACCTCGCGAGGAATTCTTCAGACATCCGATCGGTTGTTTCCGACACGGCGCGATGTGACAAACTCGATTCGCCGTGTGCGCGCTGCGCGCTGTCGATGTCATGTCAGGCCAAAAAAATGATGCTGCGCGTGTGACCCTGCGTGGAATTAGGTACTACAGGACTACTCTATCGAGAGTGACACAAACACGCTGCTCGAAAACATCCGAGATGTGATTTAAACACTGCAGGAGATCGCACTGTGTGTAATAAACCAATTTAAAACACAAGGCTAAACTTGGGTTCTATTCTGAGAGTGTTTTCGAGGTAACCTTTTTTTCGAGTCCCTGAATGACTTGACATATCAGTTGGATCAAGTGTCTTAATTCTAACCTTTATCCAATATTTCATGGCACATGACTATAACAGACTCGGACAATGGCTTGGCAAGTCTTTTCGTGCATCTGGTCTACACAATGGGTCGATTTGGCCCAATCATTGGCGTTATTGGGTATCCTATACGATAGCACTGCCCAGCTCAGTGAACAAAGAGGACACGAGCCAGGCCTTCTTGAACCAACACAAAAAATGACCCCCCAACAACACTGACTCCGACTTGAGTGAGAAAGCCTATTTATAGAAACAATTTGGTGCTCAAACCAGAGGAAGTAATTAAAGCGAAATGTTTTGCACCGGGCTACGTCACAAAAAAGTGACATGCACGTGTGTTTCCCGCGCGATAGAAAATGATGGCGCGAACAGACAACTTCCGCAAACTGCGAACTGAAATCTTCCAATAACATCCGCTAGACGCAATAAAAAAACGACCCCTTACACTAATACCAATTTCCATGGTCCGATTATTATTTTTTTTCAGTAGGAAATACGATTTTTCATGTAATCAAGAGGCAATTTTAGACCTTGAAATTGAGGTATTAAAAGTACTTTGTGTACAGATCTTTGATGTTCATTATTGGAATAAAATCTCCTCTTGCATGTTGCATTACTCTTCACTAACGTGAGTGATTATACACGTTGCAGCTTAGAGGCACATAGGATCATTCGCATTTATCCCAAAATTAACCAACGTTTTTATTATCAAAACTCCCTTAGTTGGATTAAAAATCGTACTGGTACTAAACGCCCGTCAAATTATTTCGTCTGGCTTGCTGTCACTAAGAAGAAGTCAAGAAATGTAGGTCAGCAAGTGGACTTGGAAAATAAAGAGTCACAGTCGAAATCGGTGTAGGATCACTGATCACAACGTCGTGCATTGGTTTTTTTTTTCAGAACTGTTTTCTCGAAAAGTGTAATATCCACTGAGCTGAAATGGCAACAGGTTATGTTTTGAACTTTCTGCTTTGATTTGGAGTGGTGTTATTATTGGTAACGAACAACATAATGCATGAAAGGCAAATACTTATAAAGCAACTACGTTTTTGCAGGTTGGAATGTGAAAGGAAGACGCCGTTGAAAAGGGTGTAAGCTACTGAATACTTTAAGCCAAGGGAACACAGACAAAGATGGCGTTCTTGGAATTGTCCAAACATTGAGCTCACATATCCCTAGATCAGAGCAATAGATCCACATTGAGCCTCAAGTCAGGGCCTTAAATCTCCTGGAGCCGGAACTGAAAACATATCCGAGGTTTCATAAACCTTTAGATCTTGCAAAGGATGTGTTTTAAAACCAAAAAAACTTACCTGATGACCAGGAGAGATGGTCGACCGAGGATGAAGTTTGGATAGACTTGAGGTAGTCCACTGCTGACTGTAATAAGTCCATCTGCTCACCAGTCTTGGAGCCATGCTGGAAGATTCGAGAAAGAACGACAATGTTGGAGAAAAGACGAGATGGAGAAATGGCGAGAAGGTTGGAGGAATGGCGAGAATGTTGGAGAAAACACAAGAATGTTGGCGGAAAGACGAATCTGATTTGCAAGACAAGCATAAGGTGTCAAACTTGGCTGGGCAATCGGCCACCAAATCCTTACTTTACACCGGAGTTTCCCCAAATACACGCACTGATATGAGCATTTTTCGAGATTCGTTGGTCGTTGGGCACAATAAAGTGGAATAGATATTTTATATGTGGCCAAATGTACCAAATTTGAATATAGCACCATCCTATATTATCCGTCACTTCTCAAAACGGCAAATGAAAGAATCCATTTAGACAGCGGCAGAGGATCAACAAAGAGAGGGGATTTTTTTTCTGTGACCCTGAAACATCCCCTAATTGTAACGTCCTATTTAGCCAATTTGGAAGTCTTGGATGTTGTTTATTTTGGATTTAGAGGGGCTCGCCACGCCCCTAAATACCTCCCCGAACAATTACGCACCCGCTGTCAAAACATTGTTAAATTCTGACTTGAAAAGGCACCGTTAGATCCATTGTGTACCGTAATTACTTGAAGAAAGGTGGCTTGTGCCAGGTATAGTCACGATATTTCAAACACAAAACACGGAACATGAAAGCATCATTTACAATAACACCAGCTATTTGGAGTGACCCCATAAGGTCACGCGAGGACCAGAGCTCGCTCTTAAAACATCACCGACCCTAGGGCGGCTCGACTGACTATCGCGCAGGTCAATTAACCCTCCAAAGCGAGGCTAAACTTGTGGCGTTTAACTGGCGTGAAATTGCTCCTACCAATTACTCGGCGTGCGGGGAGCGCGCGGGTCTTTTGTGGTCTCGTGTTTTTACTAAATTCGACGATATTGTCCGCGTTTTTTTTGGCTGGAGACAGATGAAAATGCCTGCGGGATTTTGAAGTGTGAATTGTTCGGCGGGTGATGGATCGCGTGCGTCTTACACTGCGACTGACTTTCTACGCGTCGGTTATTCGCGTGCGGACTTCTTGCTACCGTGACAGGATGGCGAGTGCACATCATGCATGCCAACTTCACAGAAATTTGCTCAGCTTGAAAAGTATTTGCTTACCAAAAACAGGTTACCAGCTAAAATCTCGTCTGATATGTGCGGTTTGTGACTGGCTCTCTGCTGATTCATGCTTAGCACTTAAAGTTGCCAAGCACGAAATTGGGTGGCTGATCAAGTTCGAGCGTGAATAGAATTGACCACTGTTATGTTGCTATCTTTGCTCGAACCCACACTAGCCTATACCGAGGTTCGTCACATCGCTGGTTACCATAGCCGGGAGCAGCATAACGCACAGCAGGCCGAGCCCATGATCAAGAAGTGTCGTGATGACGTGTTGACCATCGTTTCTGACAAGAGACGTTCGCACGTTGCTGTCAATGCGCAGGTGTAAGCAACGCCACGAATCGTCCACCAGTCGACCAGTGGTACTCGATCGAACTCGCTTAGGGTTGCTGCTTAAATGGAAATGGCTGGACAAACTTGTTGCATTGTGCGTTACGCCCTCAACACGGTGTGCACGAAATAATCGTACTCATTTTCGAGTGTCTAAGTTTTTTCGTTCACTGTTTACTACCACATGCAAAGTTGCCACCTCTCGTGGAACGCAGTTGCCCAATGCTTACGATGTCTGACTCGTGTGCGATGGTACGTGGGTTCGAACCCCGCCGGGGACAGGGTGTCTGTGTTCTTGGGCAATATTTCTGACGCAATAGTTACGATGTCTGACTCCTGTGCGATGGTACGTGGGTTCCCCGCCAGGGGCATGGTATTTGTGTTCTTGGGCAAGACACTTTACTGCAATTGCCTCTCTCGACCCAGGAGTAAAAATGGGTACATGTACAGGCCAGATTGCGCTGGTCTCAGCTGAACTGGGGTACAAATTGTGGAGAGTCTTGAAACATTGGTAAAAAGCGCTAATGTTCATAGTCTCTCTCTTAAAAACTGAGCCAGAGATGACGTAGAACAGTAAAACGTGCACATTAATGACTCAAGTTGCTGACTGTCAGACCCGTCAAAATGATGACTCACTTGCACACACCAGAAAAAAACTACAACATATAATCTCCATCGACGTAGCTACCTCGCCTAAAAATGGGTAGGTCCGCCATGATTATATACCCCCTTATAGATTGGACAAAACCTTGGTTTTGAAAAAGACCGAAGCCCAAACTTTAGCAGTCAACAAATCCACCCTATTTCCCAGGCTAGCCCACTCGACCTTTAAACACGCACAAAAGACCCAACTCTGTCTTTTTGTGCGCCGTTTATTGGTAATGAAATTTGACACTTGGCTGACTGCGCGGACCAAAAAAAAAGACCGTTTTTGTCCCTCGTCGTTTCTTTGACAATTTTTTTTTCCTTTGCCAATTTTGAAAAAGCTAGCACCTGTGAAATTTGGGAGATTATTTGAAGTGGTTTATTCAGATGCGAGGCTTTAAATTTCAACGATACGAGTTTAGAAGTGCGGGGGTTTGAAGCCGAATTTTTAAGCGGCCGGGGACGATTTGAAAAGGTCGGTTCTCGTCGGCATAATATCCGGCGGACATTTTCCCTCTTTTTAACAAAATAGTCGATTCAAAGTTAAAAAGGGTTGCTAAAATGCAACGTAATACGTGAATTAATTGCATTCAATTTTCTGGCTTGGTTTTTGGTTTCTTCGTGCAATACTTTCATATAGGTGAATGTTTTGCGAAGAGGGCAGTCATCTCTAAAGGCATAAAAGATAATTTACTGCTCATACATTTTGTTCGTTTTCAATAAAAACACCACTCAAAATCCAAAGAAAATTTTTCAAATCCTAACCTATTGAAGTTTCAGCTCAGTTTTTCTAACAATCAGTCAACACGATTGATTGATAGTTGGAAATCATATACATTTCTTGATTTCTTCTAAATGACAGCAAGCCGGACGGAATAATTTCACAGGGTGTTTATAGTACCAGTACAATCTTTAATCCAATTAAGCAGTTTGATAATAATTCGGTATAGGTCACTTTTGGGATAAATGCAAATGATCCAAATATGCCTTTAGAGATAACTCTCCAATGGACAGTTGTTCAGAGACCGGTTTAACCATAAAAACCTCAACCAAATCTATCGGCTATACCAACTCTACTGCAGACATTTCATCTCAACTTGGCATGCATGCAAAAGGAGGTTTGAAGCTTTTGCATTGAATTCGTTCGTGCTCGGCTATTCATGAATGAGGAGATGAAAGTAAGAGTCGTAAGATCATAACATTTCAACGATGTACGAAATAAGAAGATGCACACGTGAACCAGTTTGTGCCTGCCAAGAGTTTTTTTTAAGTCCACAGAGGGCGTATTCCATTGATACAATTGAAATTTCGCAAATACTGTTGGCTGCTGTTTCCAGGGGTTCATATTTCACAAAAGATAGCGTGACCTTTTGCTCTGGGAAAACAACACATGCAACAGAAGAGTATTTTAAGGATGATAGTTCAGGGTTAAAAATATGTCTAGATAAGTGAGATTTGTACCGTACATTTTTGATCTTTCGAAAAACACTTCATCATGTATTGCATCCTCTCTGAATCTCTTCTACCTGCCCACGTGTATTATTTTGATGAACGGATAAACAATTCTATGACATCTCGAGACGATTGAGGAGATAACATATTTCTTGATTCGCGTACGTCATTGTGTGGGAGTTGATCTGGTGTTATGAGAATTTCGTTAACAAAAATGTGCCCGCTGAGAGCTGTAACTTGAAGTTTGTTACAAGTTGATATTTAAAATACAAATGATGGTCAGAGCTTTTGCTTTCAAATGTCGAGATGTCATCCAAAAACGCACATCATACAATTTCGAGAAAGCTTTATAGAAACAGGATGTATTTGGTAAATTTCGAACTTGTTTACTTTTACACCAGTGTAGATTTTTTTAGAGTTAGATTTTTTTTTTTTAACGAACAAATGTAGATGTTTTTACAATTCCATAATTTGGTCTTAACATGGAAAAGGGAAAGGCTGTACTTGCTGGATTGAAGACTTGAAGACAATGTTTTGAATTGTTTGTTATTTTCTGCTCAATATCCTAAACAAATCATGTTTGACATTAAAATGAGTTTGATCAAAAAAATGGCATCACATTACAGCATAATTATCTGTAGTATGCCTGCAAAATGTACGCATGCATTTCATAAAAGCTTTTACAGCGAAGGAGTTTTGTGAATTTTAATCCCGATCGTTCGCTTGGCTAGTCAAGAGTGAAATACAGATAAATTGCTTTTCTTTATTTTTTTTTGCCATTATGCGCTCAACTTGCTTGGACAAGGGGCTTGATGGAGCCGATCCAGACGGCATGAATTATGCATTTCAATAATTTTCTAAAAAAAGGGTTATTTCGTTCGGCATTGAAGTTTACGATCCGTAACTTGGGCGGATGGTTAAAGCGTGCATGACGGTATCTCGGCACTTAGCTGCGCGGCAATAGCATGTGTGTTATGATTATACCTCGTGTTCATGTTTTTCTTCGTTTTTTTCCCCGCTTCCTTTTCCCTTTTTTTAAGCTAAGCTTTCGGAACTCCGGCTACGCACGCGTACGACGACCCTCCCGCCGAGTGAGTAAAGAAGAAACGGCGTTTCAGGTCACAGGATCTTTTCTGGGGTGATTGTTCGTGCGCTAACACGCGCAACACCGGGCCAGAGCCCAAAACACAAGAACTCCCTTAAAAAAGAAAAAGAAAACAGAGAATAAACCTAAACACGGGTTTTCGAAGGAGCCCGACTGGATATTTGCTACGCCTTTCTGAAACCTTTCACCCCAGCGTGAAATTGAATAAAGAAAAGGAGCGCAAAAGAAAAAAAAATCAGTCGGGGATCAGATCAGAGCATGCATTATGCGTGCTCGGTGACCAGACTGCCATTTTGTTTCCGGGCGAGTTGGCCTCGACACTATAGGA